TTTAGGGTGTTTCGAGCTCAGGAATGCATTCTTGCAAGCCCAGTCAACTCTGTGCCGTCGTTTGAGGATGCAGGCTGTTGGCAGGTTACTTCTATCACAGAGGCCTGGAGTTCTTTCTGCTTGTGGAACAGCTGTAGGAGTGCTATGTTAGACTACCCAAGGCAAACTAAACATCCTCAGTCAAGCGGAGGGCAGAGCAGGTAAGGCAGTTGCTCGAAGTTCGTCCGGCCACCTAGCAGCAACACATGCAAGGTGCTTAGCTGTCGCCACGGTCCCCCAGGAGGGCTCAGGGACTGGGGTGTGTTTATGTGTCTGCCCGTTTCGGGCTGCTTGAGGCGAGGGCAGCACGACTGCAGTTTTCTCGTGGCATACGAACTTACACGCAGGCCACAAACTCTCTTCCGCTTCCCTCCCTCCCTCCCTCCCTCCATCCCTCCCTCCTTCCCTCCCTGCCTCTCAGACTTCCTCTCATCTCGCCCTCGGATTCTTTCTATATCTCTCGCTCGTTCTCTCTGTCTCTCTCTCTCTGTCTCTGTCTTGCTGCGACAGAAGGTATGCTCCAAGAAATGGGTAGATGCAGGCGACAGATTCAGCGATGACCATCGATTTCAGAGCAAGCCGAGGTAAGCAACAGCTTCCATGCACGGATGAGTGCATTACGCAAGTGCCTTGACTTTCCGGGCTGCTTGTGGAGAGCTTGGAACGATAGTCAAAGGGCTAAACGTCCTTCGATGTTCGAAAACTCTCGCTGATACTATCACCTCATTGTCAAGGCGGAATCGGTTGCTAAGCTGCCTGTATTCAGGCGGTATCGCTACGACCTGCTGCTGAATCCACGGGCTTCGCCGTTCGATGCACGATTCGTCTGGGCACTTCGGATGCAGCATGATGCAGCAACTGGCAACGATTTTTCTTGCCTGATGCTGAAGTTGCACTAGGTCCGGCATCCTGACGTGAGAGCTTGTGCTCCCTGTGTCCCGAACACAGGATACAGAGCAAGTCTGACAACTGCGACTTCAACCGTAACTCTGTAGCCTTCCAGGAACTGATGCTAGAAGCGAAACTTGAAGCCCGTACCTTTACAACGGACCCTACAATGCCAGACTCGAAGCCCAAACTGCACGAAAACCTTCAACCAAGAGGTCGCGCAAATTTCTAGAAGAAGTTGGGGCACGCAGCTACACAACCCAGAAGAACAACATCAGGAATATCATCAGAACCAGTATGAGCCAGTTCGTCATAATCATGCGAATGGTACTCGTCACACAAAAATGCAGGCTGTGGGCGACCTCGATGCCGGTGTGATTTCCGAGGCCGCTCGGCAGCTCAGCGGCCAGGCCGGTGGGAGGTGACTGAAGTTTTGGCTTTGAGCCAGCAGACCCCTGGCACTGCCAGGCCGTGGACTGCAGTCTCCTCACCGTGAACTGGCGTGCTTCTTGCAAAGCCGACACGGCCGGGGGAAACAATACAGACACAAGAATCACCGTGCGACTACCACCAACGCTACCACTACCGCTACTGCTATCACCACCACACCACCACCAGCACCAGCACCAGC